TAATTTGTTCTCGATCGTTCTGATATATTCAGACCTAATCTTGCGCCATCTACCAAAAATCGGCACGAACTTCCCGAAAGACCCAATACCTTCGTGTCGATAATCAGCAAAGTAATACACTCTGCTGCATAATTATTTCAACGATTTGGAGAGGTGATTGAGGTTATGTTGCACGATGCAGATTTAATACACGAGCGTTTCGCAACCAATACAGAGAGTATTTATCGATGATGATAAAATGTGTACACTGACACTGTTTTTATGACAAAATCGAGGCACAAAGGATTAATACTATGACAACGAGCCTAACTTTAGGGTGTATTCTTATGATTCGCTTTGAAAAAGTCGATTTTTTTTTTGCATTTTCTCGAAGCGTATACTTTGGAAAATGTTTGCGTGAAAGGGTTTTCTCGAATTCGTAAAATTATCGAAGTTATGGGTGTTTAAAGTGCGGCTTACTGGCATTGCACAATGGGTAACGAAAACTTCGAACGCGTTTTTCTCGAAACCGTGTTTTTCGAACTGACTGACGGGATATCTCGCGTTCTGGTTGACCGATTGTCTCGAAATTTGAAGGAGATCTTTACCAGATGCACCTTTATCATGTGAATCACGGATTTCAAAATCCGATGTTTTTTTCTATTTTTGTTTACCACCCAAAGGACGAAAAACACGAGGAAAATCGATATCTAAATTTCAAAATGCTGCCATTTTTTTAATTTTCGAAATTTCGCTGTTTTAGTGGTTCGTGCTATAGCTGTATTTATACTAATTATGATGCTGTTTGGTTTTTTCGTTTCGGATAATCAGATCGTCCGGAATCGTGTTTGCCATTCGAGTCCGTTTTTAAAAACACGATTTACCCAAGATATATAATTTCCAAAATTTTCAATAATTTTGCTTAAAAAAATTGGAAATATCCTTCGAGTATAAATAAATCTATATTTAATAAATTTTATTATAGCAAATAAGTGCAATGAATTTAAAATTCGAAATAATTCGTTATGGGTGTTTCATACTAAAGATGAATTACAATAGTAATTCTAGTGTGCACTGGATTAAAATTATTTTAACAGCAAATTTTGAAATGGATCCTAAAAATTTTATTTTTAATTCGATTTTATCACGAGTAAAATATAGTGGGTAATTAAAATTAAATAATTCTACATATCATGTACTATATGTTACATATACACGTGCATATGTTTACTTGGAGGCATTATATCGGCGAATGTTTCGCATCAGTGGAAATTTAGTTATTGAGATACTTAAAGGAATATTATGAAAATGGAATGCTTTATGTCGACCTTCTTCTTATTATAAACGGGTATTTCTGTCCTGTAATTTTGGAACAATAAAGTAGCCGGGCAGTTATTTTAACATTAAATGGAAGTCGTAAAATAGAAAATAGTGAACAGGACCAAAGAGAAAACACGAAAGGTTTTTACTGAAATATTGCCACTTTGTGACACCTTGATAAATTACTATATGAAAAGTCTCTCTTCCTTATTTAACTCCCCCCAAAAAAATAAAAAAAAAAATAAAAAAGAAAATATCGTAACTTTCATCACGTGTTCCAAATTTTGATAAATTTTTTAATTTTTAAATTTTGATTATCCATCCTTGTTCAATACGACGTAATTTCTTTTTCAATTTTAATGAACCACGCGAGATAAAATTTTTGCGTATAATATTGCGAGCAGTGTCGATCTATTTCGCGAAACGAGAAAAGTCGGGGCGCCTCCCGAGTAAAATTGACAAAAGGAAAATAATCGACAGGTAAATCGTGGCATCTGACATTTTTGACATCCCTGTAAAATCAAATGACACGAAATATTTCCCTGTTCTTCGATCCCCTAATGACAGACGGTACACACCGTGTTATATTAAAGTTCAAAAACCACCACGTACAACACCAAAAAATACAACACCAATAGCGACACCAAGTGTAGTGTAAGCCTTCACCACACACACAAGGTTATTAATATTATAATTGTTAGCGGAGCCTGTACACTCGACGAATCTCCGTTTCATCTAAACAAAATTCGTTCATCATACATCAAATGGTAATGCGTTAGTAAATACTTTTCTCCTATCTTAAAATTAAGGTTTAAGAAGAAAAAAAAAAGAAATGAAAAGAAAAGAAAAAACTAGAAGAAAATTCGCATAGGGACACTACCTTTTTTCAACGAAGAATCGTTGACACATTTCAAAAAATACGTCCAAGACACCAGAAAATAGTGAATAATAAGAAACTAATATCACAAGCAAAAGGAGCCATTTTATTTTTGCATGAACGAAACATGGTGACTATAAATAGAAATAAGTACAGTAATTTGTCTAGGGACATTTATCTGAAGTAAACTAATAGTGGGACTAACAGTAAAGGTAATAACTATTAATAGCATAATTGTTACCTTTTTTATAGTACTTTAGTTAAATATCCCTAAACAAATTATACTATTTATTTATAATCGTTATATGTTGTTTGTAATATTTCAGTTAAATATCCCTAGACAAATTATGCTACTCATTTACAACAATTATATGTTGTTTATAATACTTTAGTTAAATATCCCTAGACAAATTATACTATTTATTTATAATCGTTATATGTTGTTTGTAATATTTCAGTTAAATATCCCTAGACAAATTATGCTACTCATTTACAATTATATGTTGTTTATAATACTTTAGTTAAATATCCCTAGACAAATTATACTATTTATTTATAATCGTTATATGTTGTTTGTAATATTTCAGTTAAATATCCCTAGACAAATTATGCTACTCATTTACAACAATTATATGTTGTTTATAATACTTTAGTTAAATATCCCTAGGTAAATTATGCTAGTTATTAATGTATATTTTGTTTATGTAAAAATAAAATTTCCGTTTGTGAGGTTAGTTTCTTATTTTCAAATTTACCAACGAACTTTTGCTTTGTCCCTGTGCGAATTTGATCCATTGCATGTTACACTTCCGGTTCTCTTCTTTTCTTCCTGTTTTTCGTACCGATTCCATCTTTCGATACCGTTCGATATCTCGACGAATTTCTACGCTGCACCGAAGAATCTGACCGGGCCAAACGGGGTAAACCGCGATAAAATCGATTGCCGCGATGAAAATTTAACGAACCTTGTCGTGTTTCGCGGCGGTGCGGGTCGATTTCCGGCGAAAAATACGGGAGATCCACCGCTTCGGAGAATCGACCGTATCGTTCATAATTCAACGAAATTCTGCTGCACGCGGTTACTCTCTCCCTGCTATTTTTCTTCCTCTTTTCTTTCCTCGATAATCGAGTAAATAATTCGCGTGGCAGGCGTGTCGGCTTTCCGCGAAGCGCCATTCAACAAATCGCGAGAAAAACATGGCCGCGCCGTACTGGCGCCAAATTCGAAAAACGACCATTCGTCGCTGGTATCGCGTGGATAATTAAACTCGATGATAGTTCAAAAATAAAAACGATAGTTCGCGATCGTGAACGATGATAATCTTAACAGGGAATATTCGATATTCAAAAACTGACGAAATTCCGCCACCAAGGACACCAAAATAATAAAAAAAAAAGAAAAATGAAAACAAATACACGCGAGAACGAGTTGAAATTCGGGAAAAGAGATCTAGGTACTCGATGATGCGCAACTTGAGATGCTGAAAGGAAACCGAGGTAGTAGAGGGCCTATGTGAGATGCAGTGTCGGGCGCTTCGATAATTCGCCGACAGATGTCGCGATCGATATCGCGACACTCGGTGGCAGGTTACAGAACTCGGATTTCAAACGGGGAAACATAACCAAGTTGCCCCTGGCTGTTATTACACCGTTGTAACAACGTTAATCGGACAATTCCTTATCGAAAGTAATGATTATAATTACTGCAATTAATATTAATATTATTACGATTATTATGATTATGTTGATTAAGAAAAAGAGTGTAAAAGAGTAAAGACCAAAAAAGTCAAAACCAGTAAACAAACAAATCTCTCAGCAACCGCAATCATTGTCATATCACTTCACGTCAACCTCATCAAGAAAGAAGAAACAAAAAAACACAACCAAAAAAATACAGTAGTAGAAGAAGAAGAGGCCGATCCTCGGAAGTCATTGATTTTGTAGAAATAAATTCGTGGGTACTCATGGCTTCTGATACGTGTGCGTGTGCCGCGTTCTTTCTCTCTCCCTCCCTCTCTTTCTCATCGATTGCAAATATCTCTGCCCCTTCTTTCCGTTTCCCTTTCTCATATACTTTTCGTTTCACGTCTCTCTGACTCTTTCCATTCATCTCTCTTTACATTTCTCCCCTTCTTTCTCTTTTTTTCCTGTGCCTTTTTTTTTTTTTTTTTTCGTTTTTTTGTTTTTACTTTTACACATTTTGCGCTCCTTGGAACGTCCCATGGCGCTCTCAAGGATCTCGATAAGGGAATTCTCTGCTTGCTCCCTTACGCGCATGCGTCAGGATGCTGAAACGTTATATATAGTCTATCTTTAACAAAATATTCACAACATAGTCAAGCCGAAACCGTCAAGCGAGTACCTTCATTTTTCGATTTTCGAGTATTATTATTTTCGATTTTCGAGTATTATTTTCTTTTTTTTTTTTTCCTTTTTATTTATCTATTTTTTTCTCGGTTTCCTAAAACCGCGCCCCCTTTCGCCACACGTTGCAAGCAAAATGGAGAAAAATTAATTCCGAATTTATATATTTTTTTTTTTCTCTTTTTTCTGAGTCGTTTGAAAAATATCATCGAATTGTGGTGAAAAAAGTAAAGTATTATGCTAACTGTTTAAAAATTGAACGATCGTTGGGTGCACCGTTTCCGTTTTTTCGATATGCTCACGTTAGATTAGTATCGACGATGCAATTTTGAAATTCGATTTCGATAATGAGAATGCTAGCGAGGACTCCTCTTGACATACGCTATTTTCTCGATAACTACGATTAAAACATGTACGTTCTTAATAATGTTGGACAAATCACATCAACGTAGGGACTCACCCATATTGGCCAGGAAGAACTGCGGGGTACCCGGCTCGGATGCCAGCAGCGAACGGGAATGCTGAAATCATAAACAGTTCAGAGTTAATCCTATTTACGTTTCTAATGGCCAGCCCTGAACTCGGCTTCGTGTAAATCGAACATCCTGCTCTTTGCATACATCTCTATGTATTTATATGTATTTATGTATATTTCTTTTCACGTGGTTCGCCTAGGATGAATGTTATTTGCAGGTGATAATGACAGAGCTTATGATGGCTTGCTGACACTTTCAGCAGAGGAAAGGAAATTTAAAGGAAGAATCAAAATTTGTAATACGATGAAAAAATTTTTCAGGAACAAAAGATAAAAATTTGGAAAATCATATGAATGAATTTTTCAATATTTTGAAAATTAAAATACACTAATATTCCATGTTAAATATAAAGGATAAAAGGATAAGAATATTTCTGTACTTTCATTGTATTAAAATATTAAAAATATTTCTTCTGCTTTCGAGAAAAATCAGTAAAAAAATATGTTATGTTACGAGAACTATAATTCAAGGAATTCTGAAATTTAATGATTTAATGAATGTAATTGAAATAGAAACCAAAAATAAAATATTGTTTCTATTTTTACTATAATTGTAAAACTCTTTTTATTTTAGGGAGTCAATAAAGAAATTGTGTATTGTATGAAATAAAATCCAATTTAAAAAGTTAAAATTTCATAAAAATTATAATCCCAAAAAAACAAATCCAGAAATATCTTTCAGAAAAATTTTGGAATAAAATTTGTAAAAATTCAGAAGTATCTCTTAGAAAAATTTTTGAATAAAATTTGTAGAAATTAAGAAGTATTTCTTAGAAAAATTTTTGAATAAAATTTGTAAAAATTCAAAGGTATCTCTTAGAAAAATTTTTGAATAAAATTTGTAGAAATTCAGAAGTATTTCTTAGAAAAATTTTGTAATAAAATGTGTAGAAATTCAGAATTTAATTTAGAATTGCATTAAAAATCTGATAAAACTGTCTCAAAAGATTCTTCCTTTTCAGTTCTTCCATATTTCCTTTCTTTTCTGGTCAGTCAGTTCAGAAATATTCCATGAAGCGAGGTTCCATATGATTAGGCTACTCGATATTGCATGACAGCTTGTCTTCGAATCGTTTAGCAGTATCTTAAAAAATGTTGTTACAATGGAATCACTATGAACTACCTGAAAATTCACTCATGCAATATGCATAGCATAGCATACGCTTTGTATACATCTATATTCCAGTGATGGTTATGACATGCTTTCTATCAACGAATAGATCATGATGCGCAATAAATTCGAAACGAACGTAGGTGCATACATGACGCGTGCAAAACACGATACAGAAACAGCAAAAGGCATCTCACAGCAAAGAAGCATGCACTAAACAAGCACAGACTATACTAAAAATAAAGTAAAGAAAATAAAGAAATATTTGGCATAGCGAAATAACAAAATATTTTTTAAAAAATACTAACGTGCTATGATAAAATATATTTAGTAAGGAATATACAGGGTGTCCCAAAAACCGTACCCAATCTTCATGATGTTCTTTCCGAATGAGAAAAATAAAACAGAGCCAAAAATAGGTTCCAATATTAACCCATTAACTGCCAAATTTCTTTTTTTGAAATTTTTAGCCGGATAAGTTATATATATATATGCACAAAAGGTTGTGTAACAGTATAATTATATTCAAATTATGCTTTGTTTTGAAAATATTCGATATTTTGAAAAGGTCCCAAAATGGGTATCGTTATAAAATGATCGATAAAATCATTTCAATAAAAAACGAAAGACTGAGTAAGTAACATATCGTTACTATAACCTCTAAATTACATATTTATGTGCGGTATTTCATTATAATAGAAAAACCAAACCAAAAATATAATGCTTCAAATATGACAATTCTGTTCCGTTCAACTTACACGCGAATTTCAAATTTGTTCGCTTGTTGTATAGAAACGAAGCACAGAATACACGTAATACGTTTTGCTACATACGATATTGACTGATATATATATAGAATAAAACTAAACTGTCAGGCGTACCAAATATATTTTTGGCGCCGAGTGTACGTAAAATTCCAAAATATCCAAATGAGGGTCATAGCAGCTAATGGGTTAATTTCGAATGTTAAATTTGAGACACTAAAACCTTCTTTGTAATTAACTTTAATTATTAATCAAAATTGACACCGTCCATTCGAAAAATTAAAATTCATGATATTGGACTTCTCTAACGTGTTTCAGAATTAGAAATATAAAACAGAGCCACAGAGAAAATAGTAAGTTCCAATATTAATTTCGAATATTAAAATTTGAGACAATTAATTTTAATTATTAATAAAATCTGGTACACTTCCATTCGAAAAATGAAAATTGGCCTTTAGGTATCGTTCAAATCACCATCTATGCAGAAACAATTTCTCCAATTTTTATTTTAATTGTTTATTCCAATTCTACAATTTTTTCATTGATATTTTGATGTAACTGGTAAATTTTATTCAGACAAAATTATCGAGACACCCGGTATAGTCGCATTTTCGTAAAATACACTTTAGAACTATGGAAGTTAAATATTATAGCTCTCAACTACACGTACACGTCGAAAGTATATGTGAATAAAATTGGAATTTATTATCCTGGTAAATTTTTTAGTGATTTTTTTGATCCCTAAATGAAAAATATGGTGGAATGTTAAAAAATTTCGAAAAGGAAAAATATTGGACATAAAGCTGTTAAATTATTTATTACGATATATTGCAATATGGTGTTGAGTGTTTGATAAGACGAATTTTGAGTTGGAAATGATTTTTGAGCCCGGAAAGAAAAGAGAAACAAAGGTGGTGCCGGCACTCGGGTTAGGGCAATTTTAGACTTAGGTGCTGAAGCGCCAAGCTATGTTGGCCTGGAGCCATCGCAAGAGTTCAAGAAAGTGACTCGACCTGCACAAGTGACGTTGGTAACGCTGTTTTTTTGCCCTTTCGACG